TTTTAATATATGTGTAACATTGACGGTCTCTGCTGTTATTTTTTCACATGATCAACATAACCTGACATATATACTTTAACAATATGAACAGTTACTCGGGCAATTGATCTACATTAGCCAACTAAATTACAGAACTAAACTAAACAAATGTACTTTGTTTCCACATATTGTTTTATTTATTAATCTCAAAACAAATATTTATCATGCTATTTTTTTTACGCGTCATAATGATTATTTTTTTTGCGAAAACAACTGTGATCTTGGTACAGGTTGTTACTGACCTTTTTTTTATTTAAAGAATGGGAATGCGTCGCGTCTTTAGTGTCAATAAATCAAGTTTACTTGATATGTTTGAAAGAATTGTTAACTAAATAAAAGTCAAGAATACTTTTGATATAAAAAAGAACTAGGAAAGATAGGGTTGTTTTATACTACTAGATTAATGGAAAATAGTTTAATCACTAAAAAGAGTACTTACAGTAACTCATTGACACCGTAAATTGTTATGGAAAAGGTTACACGCTTGTTAATAGTGTATGTATGATTTTTTTTTTCTTTTTTGAAGTCCACAGATTTGGGAGAAGAAATTGGGAACATATATTTCTCAAAATTTAACATCTTGTTCTAATATCATATACGTATGTTAATACTTTGTGTTCCCTCCTGGTCAGTCAAGAGACCTGATGACGGTGTTGTGTTATAATATATTTCTACAATTATTTTAACGGGGGGTTTTTTTTCACCTTTTAAGATGAAATGCCTCTCAAATCGAAACTTTTTGAAATTTCCAAGATGGTTGTGTAGCTGGCATCAAAGTTGAATCACAACATTTCAAATTATTGTTGTCACAGGTTAAAGATAACATTTCAGAAGATCATGACAAATTACGTCTCAATGACAAATTCTTGGTGGCTTAAAGAGCGCGTGAGGCTTGTCAGATGGAAATTCTTATGCAAGATGAGTCATTTGGAAGGTAACCACGGACATTTAAGACTCTCTATATAAAGTCGATGTTGTTGGTTACAATATTTATGTATAGTGTAGGGGCACATAAGAATACTAACTCGAGATGAATTTTAGATTTCAAATTTGAGCGAATCACCATAATCAAGCCTCTGGCGACAAGTAGTGTTTGTAGTCGATTTGAGTCAGTTAGTCGATTTAACCACCTCCTTACATACTTAATCATTCGACTAAACAATCTCCGTGCTTTTAATTAGCTATTGTTCGTGATAAATTGTATTGGTTAATGAATATTGTTCACGAAAAAGATTACGTCTGGATAAATTATTGATATGACCAATAATAAAAAGATATTGAAATGCATACTCCTAAATGACTTAGTCGACTAAACTGATGGGGTTCTCTTGCAATATAAGTGACACTATTAATAAAATGTATTATTAATCAATTGATTTAGAATAAGTGTCACACATACTGCAAGAGATTCATAATGTTTCAATGACTCAGTCAATATGTATTTAGTCGATTGACTTCAATCACTGCGAAAAGTCCAAAGATAAGGTATGATTTGTTAATTATAAATCATAATACACTAATGAATTGTGAATTTCTATAGATAATAGTTCCATACTACGTATGATATTGTCGTGCTTGAAGTTACCAATTTAAGCACACTAACTAAAATTAACTCTGAAATTAGATCTTTCTTGCACGATTTGGTTAGTAATTTTAACATCAGGGGCTTGAAGTTACAACTTCAAGCACGACAATATCGTATTTGTAGTGGTGTTGCTCACGAACGAGATGACATGGTAAAATTCAGGTTAGTATATAAGTGCTACTGATTATTCTTTTCCGTTGTTACAAAATTTATTAATTGTTATATTTAAATAGTAATATATTCAAGAAAATGTAATACGTGACACCAATCGTAAATTTAAGAAATTAGTAGGTAGGATCTACTTTGATAATGGAAATTAACTATTGATACAGATTTACACTTGATCAATATGTTTATCACAAAAGAATATCATACTTTCTTAACCAGTATCTTTATCAAATGTATTTAATTGGCAATAGATCCAAAATAAGATTGTTATAATCCAAAGGGTGGAATAATGCTATAGAAACATTAACTATTTCAAAAAATGCGAAAGGAAAAAAAGTGGGTTTTGAAATCAGGAAAATGCGTTGAGAACAAGTTGTATGCCTATTTGCAATTCTGACAAATACGAAAAAAACCTCTGACAGATACAAAAAAAAAGAAAAAGACTTTAAAAAGACTTGTAAGAACCTTAGAATTTCATGATGAAAATTTTTAATAGTGGCTATTAATTTATTATTAATTATATTTCTATATTTAGTTTCACATTTACTTAATCTTCTACGTGATGTTACAATTCCTGAAAAGTCATATTTAAACCAAATCGTACACTCTATTATTGATTTGGCATTTTAATGTTCGAAAAAACTATGTTAGCAACTTTTATAAGAAAATAAGTTTTCAAGAGGTTATTATGATGGTTTTACAAGTAGATCAAGAGGTGTCAAAAAAATTCAATTGTATTGTAGTAAAGTTTATTCACAGACGAGAACAGAATTTCAACGATTTAGAAATACAATTTTGTTATAGGATTAAAAAAAGAGGCGATGCATTTTAGATATATATTTAGAAGAACAAACACATTTTTTTTCAATATTAATAACGTATAGTACAAAGAACAATAACGGGATGATTTACACGAAATTTGTAAAAACATTTTTGGAGATTTGTTAGCTATTTAAAGGCAAGAAATGGTATTATAGGAAGACAATGTTTAGAAGAATATCATAGATATTCTCCAGGCTTTAACCCAATTGAAAATCAAAAAACAAGAAAAAAGAAACATCGAATCAAACATTCTATTTTTCGATGTAGATGATTTTTAAAATGATTAGAGAACATTGGTTTAAAACTATTAAGTTAAAAAAAATACTTTCTAAATATAAGATTGATTTAATAAATAGAAAAGAGGAATTATTACATTTTATAGAGAAGAAATTGTGTAAGCATAGCTTTACATTTACTTTAGTACTGAATAGAAGCTGTACCATTCAATATAATTACACGTCATTTAGGTCTTAAATTTAAATCAACATTAAAAAATATGTATGTATATTAAATTTGGCTGCGTAGAATATATTTGTGGTTCTATTTTTTTTTTGCAAATCCCTGTAGTTCAGATGAAGTTAGCAGCATTTGCTTGAAGTTAAACCTGCCTGCCTAAACTTGCTAACTAATGCATGCAAGATGATCTAATTCCAGGGGCTTGTGCAACTTCAAGCAGATGAATGCGGCTATGATCCGGAATAGATATAACCCGACATTAGAGTGATAGATCCTGTACGTAAAGAATAAATAATGTATTATATATTTTATATAATTGTTTTTCCGTTATTTTTATTTTACACTTTTATTGGTTAATTCTTTTCTTTGTTGTAATTATTAACCTTAGCTTTTCTATTTGATCATTTGTTAAAGTAATAACTTTTTTTTATTAATAACGATAAAGAATTGTGTCTTCATAACCATTTTTAAATTATTTAACGTGAGAAGCAGATTTGCAGTAGATGTTAACTATATTAATTGTCGCGGATCATAAAATGAAATTTGGGTTTCTACTTAATCTCCCGAACCCATTTATACTTATTACAACGAGTTATTTAAGAAATAGTTTCATTATTTGTTTTACGTACAATAAAAACAATAAAATTATGTAATGATGATAATAGCATTAATCTAAGCGACGTATAAGGAACATGTTAATCAGATTTCGATCATTAGAGAACCTAATTCATATCCAGCTACTATAATGGTACATGTTTTCCGAATGTTTATTAATGTGCAATGATCCCCTTACCAATTTTTCATCTTCCCAATCTCAATTTTTTACAGGACTTGGACTTTTACCGCAAATACTGTAATACGATAATAGCATTTGAATTCTATATCAGGTCTATATCAGGAGTTTTGTATCCTAATGTTTACCCGATCTTTATGTATTCAATTCTGCTGAAATTGGGTTAATTGGATTGGTTAATTAAAAAACATTAGTAATAATGATCTTGATATAGTATAGTGGTCTTTGATATAGTATAGTGATCTTTATATAGTATAGTGATCGGGATATAGTATAGTGATCGGGATCTTTCGCTAAGAATTTTCCGACATTACACTTACCAATATTCATTTATCGTTGTATTTATAGGGTTTAGAGTACCTTCTTATTTCACGAAAAAGAACTGTTTCTAAAGAGAACACTTTTAACGATAATGCAATGAATCTCAAAACCAATCGTTTATTGCATTGTAAAATATGTAAAATGATATGCACGTACATACATACATACATGAATGCTATTCCAAAAAGAGTTTATTGGGTAAACTCATGAGTTATTAATCTTTATTAATATTTATTAATCGCTATTAATTGTTATAAGAATTATTTTAATTGGTTAATTATCACATTTTTTTTGTATATTGATTTCGTATAAAATAAAGTTAGTCTTCAATGACGAAACAAAATCTTTTGTTTGCTTTGTGCAACGTCAAGACCAAACTTTTATTTGTAGAAGTGATTTCTTGGATACAAAGACTGTTGTGAAACCCATCTGAAATGTGAAACTACGTTAAAAATACAATTAATATTAAGATTAATTACGAACAAATTTTTAACATTCTTATTATAAATATTATGCCTATTTTTTTTGGTTTTTTTTTTTACCTGAAATGGCATCATTATGGAAATATGTATATGTCTTAAGAGTGAATGTAAGTTAAACTTAGTCATTTACTGCTTAATTACGTAGTTTATAATAAATAAAGTACAACTATACCTTTTTATAACCTTTTGCCAATCGCGACCGTTTTTGGCTTAATGTACAAGAAAAATTTTTTTTAAACGCATATATATATATATATGTATATATATATATATACGTACGTACAAAGAATTTCTATTCTACAAAGTTAATCGAGAATTTAAACAAGAAAAAAAAATGCAAAATAACGAAATAATTCAAAATCCAGAGTCTTCTTTAATACCATCACCAGTAACTTCACAAACACCACTTTTAAAAGGATACAAAAATGTTACCTTTAAACGTAAAGCAATTTTTATAATCACATTTTTAGTTTTAATAAATCTTGTTGCTTGGATTATTGCCATACTCGCATTTAGAAAGGTTCCTTCACTCTTTGGAACCGCTGCTTTAGCATACACTTTAGGACTTAAGCATGCTGTAGATGCTGATCACTTGGCTGCAATTGATAACGTAACTCGTAAACTTTTATTTACCGGTAAAAAATCGGTATCTGTGGGTCTTTTCTTTTCATTAGGTCATTCTACAATTGTTGTAATTGCTTCCCTCGCCATAGCTTTAACTGCTACTGCTGTAAAAGAAAATTTTGGTGATATTCAATTAATAGGTGGATTAATAGGAACTTGTGTATCTGCCTCTTTTCTATTCATTATTGGAATAATGAATATTTTCGTATTAATTTCTATTCATCGTGCTCTCCGAAATTTAAAATCAACTGGTTCTGTTGATGAAATTAATTTGGATGTTAATTTAACTGGATGTATGGGCAGGATATTCGCTCCTATGTTCAATTTTGTTGACTCAAGTTGGAAAATGTATCCCCTTGGTGTTCTTTTCGGTTTCGGTTTTGATACTTCTACTGAAGTGGCTCTTTTAGGTGTTGCTGCTTTTCAAGCTAATAAAGGTCTTTCAATTTGGCTTATCATGATTTTTCCCTTACTTTTTACTTCTGGTATGGCTTTAATTGATACCCTGGATGGTATTTTAATGTCGGAAACTTATTCTTGGGCTCTTGTAAATCCTGTTAAAAAACTTTATTATAATTTTATTGTTACTTTACTTTCCATCATAATAGCTCTTGCCATAGGATTAATAGAAATTATTAACATTCTGGGTGACAAATTAAATCTTAATGGTCCTTTTTGGGATTTATTTTCTTATCTCAGCGATAATTTTTTTACTATTGGTTGTATAATAATCACTTCATTTATTATTACTCGGATAATAGCGAAACTTATTTATAAATTTGGTGGTTATGATAAATTGGAATTACAATTTATTCAACCAGTTAATCATAGTAATGAAGAAAGTGAAATAAGTACGCGTGATGACAATATAGAAATATCAGTTGAACCTAGAGTAGTAAATCAAAGTAAAAAGTGATAATAATAAGAGAAATCACACAATTATTTAGCTTAAATTATTTTTTTTATACTGTAAATATTTGGTTTTTTAAAAAAAATTTTTTTGATTGATAAAAGTTATAAGACAATAAATTTTTAAAATAATTGGTTGGAATGAGGAAAGCATACTCTACACTCTACGAAATTTTTGAAAATGTCCGGTTCTCGGTTCAACTGAACCAAATCTATTTCAATGTTTGGATACCGAACTCTTAGTACGAACATATCATAACTACCAAGGTTAGTTACGATGTTTCAACAATTAATTATGAGTAGTAAGAATTTTATGCTTATTTTATCTGCTGGTTTTTAATGTATTACAAAACAACCTAAAGTTTGATATTTAGATACGTAACAAAGAAAAGAAAATCTAGTTTCTTGTTTTTTTTTCAGATTAAATTATTAATACAAGTATTACAGAATCGTCATAACATAGAAATATTCCAATAAATATATCCTAAACATCAGGAATAATAAAAATTGTGTTATGTTTTATAAATATCATTCTTCCAAATAACTTAGTTTTAATAATGTTCTTTTCGCACTTGTAACATTTCCTGTATCTTAAAACAAGCATTCACTTGGTATGCTTATTAGGGAATTGCAAGAATTTATAAGTAATATGAATAATTCATTTTTCAGTTTTTCATTTGAGCAGAATCCAAAATATTGTTTTTTAGACCCATCACATATTTCTAATTTTTGTTTTTTTAGAACTATCGGTAATAGGCTTCTCTATATCGAACTTTGGTTCTCACAAACCAAAATATTAATGCAATTAGATTTGATCTCTATTATTAAGAGAAAACTCTACGGGAACATCAACAGAAGATGTAATATCTTTATTCAATATTAAATCAAATTTCATGGTTTTAATGAAAACAGATTGTTATTTATTAATCAAACAAGAAATTGATCACTATCAAAATGTAATTAAATTTTAATTTTGACTGATTAAAAACTCAATGAATAAAGTTTACTTCGAGACTCGGAATTTTTGATCGATGCTCAAATATTTATTTACTGATTCCACACTCTAATGTATTCATATTAATTGTTAATATTGATTATGTAATTGATCTTTGTGGTTATGCTATGGTCGCTGAAATCTTAGTAAAAACTGCCTTTTAATAAAAAAAAAACTTAGTTTAAAATATAGTATCGGGCTTTTTAAAGCTTTAATATTTTTTATTTCATTAAATTATATCAAAAAAGTTAACTTTTATAATGTATAAAGCTTATTATGATAGTGATTTAGACCATAGTTTTGCCTGTCGTTTTTAGTCTTTTAGAATCAAGACTGGTTCAGACTATAATATTTCTAAACCTTGTAGAACTATAATTCAAAATTTAATAATTTATTTGATAGGCCTGCTGGTCTCTTAAATTATATCATTAAATATCTTTTTGAAATTAATAATAATATTAAAAGTTCTTGCTACTTTTTATTTATATCCTTTAAATAAATTACTATTTAGTATTAATTTGTATTTTTTTGTATTTTGTATAGGTCGTCTTATCACTTCAGATACATCATATATATATATATTTTCCTTACGCAGTCATGTTAGTACTTTATTAAGATTTTGAAATTACATTTGCAATTATATAAATACCCCTAATAGCTAAGTCTAGCATCATCCAGTCACCCTAATGGTACCTAAATGCAACCTGTTGCATTACTTCAAACAGAAGTAAGCTGCTTGTCTAACTATTTAAAGTTCATAATAAAAGGGTCTTCTTTCTTTCATAACAAGTTTCAACTTTGTTTTTCTGATTTCTTCTTCAATTTGTTTTACTTTTCTCTTGCTTTCTCTTTTTTTTCTTTCATTCTTTGCTGATTTGTCTCTTTTCTTTTGTTTAGTTTTTTTCTTTTTTTTCTGTTCTTTTTTTGTTCTACCTGTTATTTCTATTTTTTTTCTATTTATTAATTTTTTTGTACTATATTCTTCATACCTGTTTGTAAAATGTGTTATAGGTCATTTTCATGATTACTTTTAGAAACTGCTATTTTGCTTTTCTATTTAGAAACTATGTTAATCTGTTCTGCATTTCTTTTGTGATTAGACCTTTAATTAATATTTCTCTCCTTTTTATTTCTTCTATTTCTGTTTTTCTAAAAAGTAATGTGTATAATACATATAGAGAGACTTAAACCTTTTTTTTTTTCTTTTAACCTTTTCCATACTGTTGTAATAGTCATTTTCAGATTCTTTTCTATAACACTAGTCAAAAAGATGCAAATCGACCACAATTTGACCACAATTTGACTAAAAATCAAAGATCAAATTTTATTTTTGGTCGAGTTTATATTGATTTGGCCAAAAAAATTAACTTATATTTGACCTAAAAAATACTAATCTGTCTAAAATTAGTAACTGATTGGTTAATTTTAACATTCAACCTAAAATCAGAGTCTGAATTTAGATGTATTTTAAAATTCGACCTAAAATCAAAGTCTGATTTTAGGTTAAATTTTAAAATTAACCAATCAGTTACTGATTTTAGGCTGATTGATATTTTTTAGGTCAAATATAGGTTGATTTTTTTGGCTGAATAGACATGAACTTGACCAAAAAATAAAATTCGACTTCTGATTTTTAGTCAAATTGTGATCAAATTGTGGTCAAATTATAGTCAATTTGCATCTTTTTAACTAGTGTAAGTTTCTTTGTCTTTTACATGTTGTTAGATATGCTTGTATTTCTGTTACTTTGTCTTAAAAGATTTGGCATTCTGTTGTTGTATATATATCTAGACTTCTTTTGTTAAGTTCAAAAGTTTATTTATTATGCATTTTATAAATATATTTCTTCTTATACTATTTCTTCTCATTATACAATATATTTTCTTAGTTATTTTTAGTATTTCTAAAAGTATATTTAATTATAAATCATGGCTTCTGTTTCTGGTTCTAAATCTTTAATTACTTTTGTTTTTTTCTATTCTATTTCTAATTTTATATTCATTACTAATCTATAAAATAGTCTTACTAATATGTTAGTTCATCTGTTTTTCCAGTCTAAGCAGTATTTTATCTCTTTATAATTAATTTCTTCAATCTATACAATCTTCTTGCTTAATGTTTCTTTTTTTACTAGATTATCAGCTTTGTTATTTTACCTGTTTTTACTATAATTTTTAATTTTAACTAACTCTATCTAAATATTCTTTATCTTGATAAGAACTTTAATCTTCATTATCCATATTATGTTTTCCTTTTTAAGAATCTTGTTTCTGTCTACTTATTTTAAACTTTTACTAATATTTCTTATTGCAGTATTGTTATCTATATATATCTTTATTTCTTTTTTGGTATTGTTGAAATTGCTGTTCAGATTACTACTTACTTTGTTATTGTTGATATTTGCTATTTTTTTAGACCTAATGCTATATCTTCTTCTGGTCATTCTTGTATTTTGTTTGTTTGAACTCATTCTATATCTATATAATTTTTAATTACTAAGTCTTTTTTGTTTTCTATACTTACTATTTCATCTGTATATATTATATACTTGTTCTTATTTTTTAGCATATTTCTTCTTTAAATTTCTATTATTTCTTGATTAATATTCTTCTTTAATTTCTGTTATCTAATAATTTTTATTTCTAGCTCATTTACTGTTATAAGTTTTTCAAACTTTTATTCTTTAATTTTTAATCTGTCTGTTTTTATTACATCTGTTATTTGATCTATTATTATTTTAATCTTATTGCTACTTTTCTTTATTAATACATCTAAAACTATATTGATTTTACTGTTCATCTTTATTCATTACTAGCAGTTATCTTCAATCTGTTCTTCTTTTCTTATACAATTATTACATCTTTTCATCTTAGTAACTAGTTTATTTTTTTTGCTTTGTATTTGTCAGTATTTTACTAATATTTTTTTCTTTTTCTTTTTGTTTGTTTTTCTAATTATATATAATTTTATATATCATATACCATATATTTTTTTTTTCTATCTTTTGAAATATCTTTTTACTTGATCTGCATTACTTAGATATTTTAACTATTTGTTCTAAAGCATCTTTAATTTTTTTGCTTTTTGGTTTGCTAAGAATCTTTAGTTTTATTGTCTTGAACTATTCTGCTTTTTTTTTTACATAATAGATCTTAATAATTTTTTAGCTATTGTTATGTAATTAGGTTTTCTTTTCTTGTATTAAATAGCTAATTTAAGTAAATTAAATCTAATTTGCTTATTTTAATTTTATTTTTTTTTATAAACAAGTATCTACAAGCTTTTTTATTTTAGTATCATGTCTAACTGTTATCTATAAGTTATTTTTTATTTTTATATTTATTCCTAACTTTCTTACTTTTAAGATTGTTAAGTAAGTTAGATTATTTCTCTAGCAATTTTTATTTTCTAGTATTTTTTTTAATTTTTATATATTTTTTATTAAATCTGATTCCTAGCAGCTTTGTGTTATTTTTGTTATAATGTTTTGTAACTTCCAACTCTATTATATAATTTTCTAATGTTTTTTACAGATTACTCTTCTGTTTAGCCAAACTTATTATTAGTTAATATATTTTGTTTATACTTCTTTTTGACATTTTTATTAATTGAATATATAACTTAACTTTAATATTATTACTATATTGTTTATAAATGCAATTTGACCTATTACTATTTTTTTGTACTTAAGATCTCTTATTGTTTGGCATATTATTATTTTTGCTTTTTTTTTTACTAGTACTTCTCACATTTTGCTATTTAGCTATATTTCTAATATACAAAGTATTTTATTTTTTAGTTTTTCTATTATTTTGTTTTTTTTAATACCAATTCTCTTTATTTTTTTTTAATTTTTGTATTCATTATCAAAAGTTTTAATTTGGACCTATTTATTTTTATATTATTTATTTCAAAAAACTTTTTATTTATTTTTAAGATCTTACAATTTGAGTTCTTAAATACTATAACTAGAATTTAAATAAAGTTAGTAATATCAATATTGATAAAATATT